TTTTTTTATTTTTCCGATGAACCTTAAAAGTTTGCCGATGAAACAGACTTTATAAAGCGAAAGTCATTTTATGTGAGTAAACTTGGAAGGCTACAAGCTTGAAATAGAGGACAAAAGTTCACAATTTTCAATTTTACAAAGTTGGAACGGGCCGCAACCTTTGTAAATCGCAACAAACTGTTTATTTGGGTGCATTTTTTACGGCTGTTGATGCAAATAATCCTGTTACGGATAGGGGGTCAGAAGAACATGGTGTAGCCTAACAAGACCGAAATACAACCACAGTGATCATCATTCATCACTACTTGTGTGAAATTTAAACTTTGCCGCTAGGTGTCAGGCTTTTAAATCTGTAATATTTCAGTCATTTTATGATCAATGTATTGTGTTTCTAACGCCGAACGGGAAATTGTTGGAGCCACAGTAATAGACTCTTTCAAGGTCAAGATGCCATAATGAAACACAAAGTGTAAGGGCTGCAAACACAATGGAAATTCCTACTAGTAAATTTGCAAGGTTGTATAAACACAATGGTGAAAACAATGTATTGAAATTAAGTGGGGGGGGGGAGGGGGGCAATGCAACTCAATGGGTTATTAAAAGTAACTAGCGTGTCAGGCTCTATGCTTGAAATAAAGCCTGCTACTGAGGTCAGTAAAAAGGATTGATGCACATGATTCGTACGCAAAATTCCCATTGGTCAGAAATAAATAGCTTTGTTTTTAAGGTAATGCCAAATTGTTGTTTACGTAATGATATTCCGTACTTGTAATTGTACTTTAACTACTTTTGGCCATGTTAATGACTGCCTTTGCTGCAGTCAATAACAGTTATTATTATTATTTAATATGTAATTCCTGGCCATTTGATGAAAATTGGAATATTTAGTTTTGAGATATTGGTGGAAAAGTTGGCCATTATTGTCATATTTTAAATTAGCTTTGATAATCTAATGTATCAATTAATTCCAGCAGTTCCCACCCCTGGGCCTTTGCAGCTTTTCCTAATCACGGGGGTGGGGCTATTGCCGATATTTTTTAGCCCGGGGGTGAGGATTTTGACATTTTCCATCATGGGGGGTTTGGTAGATTTGCTGGAAAACTGATATTTAATTTGATTGCAAATGGCTTGTGGACATAGCCATTTTCTTCCCAGAAATGGCTAATACCTCTGAGGGATGGGCACTGCTGGAATTGACTGATACGTAATTAACAATCGCCATTTTGATTGGTTGTTATTTTTGTGCATCCCAATCACTGTCCACTTTTTATTGACTTCAGTAACAGGCTTACCCTGCGAGCAAAGTCCTCTCGTATTTCTTCTCAGCACGAGAGAGACTCTGCAGAACTTGTGTATATTCTTTGTGGAGCCGACAATCCAAAAACTTGGATAATTATAAGTAATTTCAGGTTTGATACCAGTTTTATAACCGGTTTTGATCCGAACCGGAAACTACTTATTAAATCTTCTTCTGGGAAATAGGCAGTTGCTTAGCAACCTTCGTGCATGCTCAAATTAATTTATACACAAGTTCTGCAGTATCTCTCGCTTCTCCGTGCCGTGCCGAGAAGAAATACGAGAGGACTTTGCTCACAGGGTATAACAGGCTCTATTTCAAGCATCGAGCCTGACACGCAAGCTACCTTCAAAGGGCCTATTTGGCAACTTCTGTTGTGGTTACCCAGCCTGAGGCAAAAGTAATAAATTATGAATTGTTATAAATGTTCTGTGAAGTGCACATATTTTTCCTGCAGTTAGGGACCAGTCCTTATTTATGGAAGAGGGAGGGGGAGGCAAAAGGTGGGGCCATGACCCCATGAGTATAAATAATTTACTAGAAGGGGGGGGTGGCATTAAATTTTTTGAGAAAATCAGTTGAAGGGTCAAAATGTGGAGTTGCAATAAATTTGTTTAAGCCTGGTTTCCAGTGTCCTCGAAGTTGGCCTAAGCCAGATAAATCCAATAAATGATATCAACCTCGTACGCAGGGCTTCTGCGCTTATACACTGCTCTCAGAAGAGAGAGCAATAAGCGCAGAAGCCCTGCGCAGAAGGCCTTATTTTAATAGCTCCAGCGACTAAACGCTCAACATTCTGTCTTGTTAGTATTTGAAAATGTTTGTAAACATTTTGTTTAATTATTATAAACTCTAATCACTGTAAAACCAAAATGTCTAAGTATTTTAACTGATAACATGCATCGAACAAAGTTTTTTAATTAATACAGAAATACAGGACGAGGATTTAATTAAATATCTCCTGAGAACATTAGTTTCCAGGGACATTGTTCATTGACAAATATATTGCCTGCTATGTTTTGACTGTTTAAAATATGATTGTTTTACTTTTTAAATAATAAAAAATATATATCTATGTGGTATTTGACTACTTACCAGATGAGGATAAGTTTCCATGTTAATAGATATTAAACTTCGGAATAATATCGCAAGTACAATGGTGAAAACAAGCCAAAATCAATATATTTTTGAAGCCAAAATGTGAAAATGGCGAAGAATAAACACGAGGCCAAACTCCGCCCGTTCGCAGGTTAGATGCGGGCACGATGTAAACAGTTGATGTAAGCTGATCGCTGATTGGCTTAAATTGGCTTAAATTATATAAGCTCGTCGCTGAATGGCTGGGGATACGGTACGGTACGGCACGTCTGCGATAGTGATATATCTGCTTCGCAGATACAAAAATGGAACCATTTACGGATCAGCTGAAAGTTGGGGGGGGGGGCTGTTATAGGCGTTGCTGTCTTTCCGTCAACTGCCATTTTTTCTCTCCCATCACCGTTAACCGCCTTGTATTTTCTTTTTTAAAACTGTTACCATCATTTTTCTTATAAAAGCATTTCCGCTCTATTTTTGGATAACTAGATGATCGGGCTGGTTTTTCCGATTTACAGCAGATAAATTTATAGAAGCTTAGTAAAAGAGGCGCAAAACACAAAGAGGTACAACTTATATTTCTCACAGACACTGAAATAAATAGTTATATTGGCAATATCTGTCTATATAATAAGAGAGGGGGCATGTACGCTTATAGTGGAGCTATTTTCCCCTTATTAACCATGCAAGCTTTTAAAGCCAAATTGTACATGTGGTTACACGAGGACTATCATTATTCTGTGGTGCAACTGGCAACGCAATTTCTGAAGTATGCTGACATATTATCAAAAAGTCGTTACATTTCCCACAGTCCACCTTCCCTGAAGAATATGAGTATCTTATACTAAAGAATGTAACAGCAGAGTATAGAATTTTCAAATTTCTTGTCACCATTTTGTGTTGCACTTAAGCAAACCTTTGAAACGTTTATGTGGTTGTCATGGCAATACACAAGTTACCAGGTCTCTCTTTTCTTGTGTTAGTAATGTCTGCTGTAGAAATTTGGGAAGGAAAGTTTTATTTACTTCAATTGTTTATATTTAGCACGGCACCTAAAAGAGTCTCTGACCAGGACAGGGTTTAAATTTCACTTATTTAAATTGCTGTTAGAACAACGCACTGACAGTGTAGGTTATATATGACATGTAGCTTTATTTATTTATAATTTTTCGAAAATATTGAACTGAAATACAACTAATATAATTACTATAATAAGTGTACTTTGGATTATGATCCATTATTTTAAACTGATATAGTATCATATCTGCAATAGAAATCATTCTTTTCTTGAGAGCTGTCAAACCGTCTTATAAAAGACAATATTTATTGATTCAAAACTATAAGAACGTTACTACATTTCTAGAGTGAATAAAGCATGATTTTAAAGGCTTTCAACTGTGTTTAAGTGTCGCATTCTAGAAGTCGGTAAAAAGCAAAGACTAAAGTTAGAGTAAATTAGTTAGTAAAAAAACTACTTTCGCCCAAGCGGTGAAAGTAGTCTCAGTCGTTTTTATGTTATTATATACTGGACCAATTTTTCTCCAATGTAAACACCTGCAATTTTGTCTGCAACTTTAGTGCGACAATAGTGCAACCTGCAGCGATTTTACTATTTTTCTGGCTTTGAAAGGAGTTAAATTTTCAATAATCCAGTCACTGTGAAGTTTACAGACAATATACAAAGATTTTGTTCTAATTAGGTTGTTTAGTTCACCTATAGTATAATAAAAAACTGTGTTTAATAATTAATATTAAACAAACTCGCGATATCTTATATTCGTATATATCGCTGTCAAAATCATATATGGATTCCTCGTTCTCGTAAATAACCCACAATAAATATATTACCATATATTCTGTTGCGTGCAGGGGCGTAACGTGACCTTTTTAACTGGGTCACTTGCGTGTTTCTTAAACAAATACGAAAACTATTACGTTAAACAAACTCGCGATATCTTATATTCATATAATACAGCAGTCAAAATCATATATGGATTCTTCGTTCCCGTGAATAACCCGCAATAAACATATTATTACCATATATTCTGTTGCGTCTTTCTTAAACAAACACGGAATTCGAAACTATTATCATGCACATCATGCACTATGGTACTTTACATTTATTAAGACTTAAACAATCTAAGACTTAAACTGAAATTCGCGAAATCTTATATTCATATATATACCGCTGTAAAAATCATGTATGGATTCCTCGTTCTCGTAAATAACCCGCAATATAAATATATTATTAGGCTACCATATATTCTGTTGCGTCGTTCTTAAAGGTAATCTACAATCCGGTCTGCGCATGTGCTGGGTTTTGTTTACATTTCAATGTTTCGTTTACATTTTTGCAAAATATTACACCAAGTATTTCCTCTTTGGCGCACGCATTGATGATTGACAAAATGGCGGATGAGCACAGCGTGACACTCAATGGCGTGGAAAGCATTGAACTGGAACGCCTAGCAAGTGTCCCAAATTTGGACAACTGTACAAAATGTTGTTGTACGGATTTGTGTCTAAAAATGCGGGGTAGAAATGCGTGTCCCTGCAGAAGTGTGCAGCTGTTTTGCACTCGTGTTTGCCACAAAGATCGGGAGTGTATATGAATAGTAGAAGAGTGGTCGGCGATGCTGATTCCGATGAAACAACGGTAAGAATTGACACATGCATGAGCATAGGCGCCGAAACGGCTGAATTTAAATTAAAACTGCAGTGAAATTATCGGAAATAATCACAAATTTAGCGAAATATATTGAGAGATGTAGCTTATATTATTGAAAAATTCCTCAAAATATAACTCGAATAAAAAACAACATGAATACTTATATAATATGTATAGTTTTTCCTCTGCATTGTCAAAATTTTAATAATAAAATAGTGAATTAATATAATTTAATATAGTTAATAGACTTAATATATCAGCGTGACATAATTTGCCACGAGTTTTCTTTCTGTGTATCTCTTCTCTGTGGTGCAAACGGGTTGCGATTTTAATATTATAAGCTACATTTCGCTTTATATTTCGCTAAATTTGTCATTATTTTCGTTAAATTTATAATTTCACTGCAGATTTAATTTAAATTCAGCCGTTTAGTGGGCTGCATATGACATGAGCTCACATGAATGATACGTTAGCTGAAATTTTCGCAAATTATTCCATAAACATCGCATCATGCCATGCAGTTTATAATACCTATGATTTACCGACATAAAATTCGCACAATCATGCGAAACGTTAAAGGGGGCAAAAACTCAACTACAAAGTTAAAAATAAACATTGTAAATGGATTAAGTTATGATATATGAGTCTTATTAAACAACTTTGAACTTCCACGCAACATGTAACTGAGATTTTCATAAAAATTGACTAAAACTTGAAAAAGTGTCTGCCAACAATTAATCAAGATGCCATTTACAATCCATCTCAATCCTGATGTAATCTTGCCCATCCAGACTTCTGTAGATGTTTTTTGTGTCTGTTATTGCTTTATTTTGTGCTTACAATCATTCTTTTTCAGCTTTGGGCAAAATTTGCGAGGGTTGGAATTGCTCAAAAATCGGTGACATTGCCCCTTTAATTTAAAGTTAAAACAGATATGAAAAACATATTCTGTTGTGACATTTCAGCTCCCTATGTGTGTTTGGTTTGAAGGGCCAACCACTGAAAAGTGTACGAGATTTTTGGATTTTGAAAATACATGGGGATTTTTTTCTGAGATTTTTTCAGGATTGTTTGCAAATTTTATGGAGATTTTTTAAAGGGTTTATTGGGTATTTTTTCAGGCTTTTTTAATGAAATTACTAGAGTGATAAAGCCTCAGTTTCGTTCATGACTTTATAAAATGGGCCATTCCATCTAATAGGAAAAAGTTATTTCGCTGACCTCAGAATGACATTTCGTCAAAACTTTTTTCTTCAAGATTGGTTTAGAAACAAATTTGGAGTAAGGTTAGGGTTAGTATCAGGGTTAGTTTTTAGAGTAGGGTTAGTGTAGGAACACCGTTGCATTGTTACGTTTTGTCTCTCTGAGGCCAGCGAAATAACCTATTCCCATTTAATAAGTTCACCCCCCCCCATTGTTTTTTTTTCAGGGGTCAGATGAATTTATTTTATGTGAAAATGATGGGATGTCAATGGAATCTGGGAACAGTGCAGACGAAAGCAAAATGGATGAACTGAATGAAACAGGTTCAAGTAACCAAGGAGAAAGCAATGTTAGAAGTGGTGGAAGGGGTCGTGGAAGGGGTCGTGGAAGAAGTTGTGGAAGAGGTCATGGCAATAGCAGGGGCAGAGGACAAAATCGTGGACAAAACTTAGCCCCAGAGGAGGATAGTGACCAGATCGAATCATGCCAATCATGAACAGGCACTACAGGTAATGCTCCAGTACCTTTTTAAAATACTGAACAATCTTTTGTTTTAACCCTTCAAGTGGCAATGCGCCAGGATGTGCCATACTCAATTTATTTTTCTCATTCTAACGCCAGACGATTTTACTCATCAGGGAAAAAGTACTGCCACTCAATTGGTAACACATAATCAATGTGCCAATGTTGTAATTAGTTTAATTTTATTAAGTAATTACAGTACCCATTGTCAACAATGTCTTTATATATAGTATAATATACATATGAAATGTTTGTTTACATATTGAATTTTACGTAAACATATTGACACAGATATCATTGGACATTTTAAATGGTTTAAAGGGTGTTCTCCCATAAATTTTATTTTTTGAACAGATAAATCTTCAATTCATGATTTTGAAGGCTGTTTTTAGTGATAGTATTCTATGTTAAACAAGGAGATTAGCCCAAGAGCTTATGAGAAGGCAACCATCTGTATATGCAGACATTACCAATGGTAATTTGTTCAGCACACCTGCTGAAGGTGATGGAGATCCACCCCCTCCTCCAAATGAGAACATACCAGATTGGTGCAAATGCGGAGAATGCAGAGTTATGCCCACAGAGTTGGAGAATAAATGCCGTGCTAAAGTGGAACGCCCATGTATAACCAACAGTGCATCATTTCATCAGTTGGTCTTAGATGCAAATGTTTTACACCTTGCCATGCAATATAGAGAAGATATACATGTGCTAGATAATGTAAGGAACAATGAGCAATTCCGACATGCTGCTTACAGGCAGTACGTGCTTTGGCAGCATGGTCGATTGGGCCAAGGTAACAGACGAGTTATCCCAAGTTGCTGTGTAATAAAAATCCGTAATCGTTATCCATCTGCAAGTGGGGTTACACAGGGTACCATCCAGATTATAGCAATTCTGCATCTCCAATCATATGTTACTATGCCCAATAGAATATTTTGCAAGCTTGTATATTAAAATTAATTTAAACGTATTTACAGTTTACACTGCTATTTAAGGTGGCTCGATATAATAATTCTCACAAAATGCAAAAATAAATCTTTATGCAGCATGAAATTGGAATGTACAAAACCACATGATCATTCATTTCATCAGAAATATGACCAAAACAACTTCCAATACGAATAGCTGACGTGGCCAATTAGTGACACCATGCTCAAATCTTTCGCATTGTATTGTGTTACAAAAATATTGTATCGGAAATAAGAAAATTCAGTAATGCCAAACATATTTCATTGAATAACATGACATCGTATCATTTTCAAAGAAAATAGTATTACAAGATTTTATATATTTTGCCTGCTGTTAGTCCATGTTCCTGAAAAATGTATCGAGCCACCTCATATATAATATACACAGGGCTCATATACTGCTCATGAAAAGTGAATTTCAAGGAGTACTGTAATACTAGAGTTTTTAAGGAGTAAAACAGTATATTTCGAAGGGTATTTACGGTGTTTTATTAAAGTCACTATAGGCAATACATTCGAAAAGTTCAAAAAGTTCTCATGTTAATTAACTAGAATAAACATGTTAAAAGAAAAACAGCCGAAATATCAACAGACGTAATAGCGCATGTTCACAATTTCTCGGATCACAAACTCACGATAACTGATTATAATGGCAACTAATAAAGTTTTACACCAGGATTTCTATTTAGGACGAATATCAATATGCATATTTTTGTACTTATGCAACATATTTTCTGCATGCGATAATTTAATATTTGGTGAGTTAGCAGAAGCAGACCTTAGTAATATAATATCAGTATATAGCCCACTATACGTGGCATAATTTATAATATGTCCATTTATAATTATATATATATATATATATATATATATATATATATATATATATATATATATATATATATATATATATATATAGTAT